AGGAGACGGAGGAAGCGGGGAGGTGGAGGAGGAGGAGGAGGAGGAGAGAGAGGAGAAGAGAGAGAGGAGAAGAGAGTTGGGACAGTGATGAGTAGGAAGGCTATAATGAGGAAAAGAGGAGAGGCCCCCAGCACAAAGAAAGGGCCTCGCCTTCGGCGCGTCCTCGCCTTCAGCGAAGGGCGGAAGAAGGCTGGCAGAAGCCCGCAAGAGTAGGCGGTGGCCGGTCTGCCAGCGGAAACTGGCGGAAGGCTGGCGGAAGTAAAAGTGATGCGTCAGCAGTTTTGTTTTCAGGGCTTCCGCAGTCTGCAACGCTTTCAAATCAGATTCGGAACATACTGGCATTTGTAAGTCTCAGAAGCCCGTCGGAAGTGAAGAGGCGAGAAGACAAGGCGTTGACAAGAAGGTGGCCTCTCCACAAGGGAGGGCCCATCACACTCCACCCGAAGATTCGGCCCGAAGGGCAGGCCAATCACAACCACGATCTTCAAGCAGAACCGGCACGAGAGCTTCGAACGTGTGTCGTATCACACCTCATGCTTCGACACGAGTATCAACCCTATCCGAATTGAAATGACGCGAAGAGGAGCATATCCACATACATGGGCGCAACAATACCCATTAGGTGGGCCAATCCTACGTACACGTTGAATTCCGCATGGAGATAGTGGCTGGCGCGCTGGATGTGGAGAATATGATAGATGTGTTGTGGTAGGATGTGTTTGGTTTTACCTTGGGGAGAACATGGGTGACCCATCATTTGGATGGAACGAGCCTGCTTCGATCTCTGTGGAGGGCTCGATTGGTTCTTTCTCTTCAAGAGGGATCCATCGCATTCTCCCCCGCTTGGGGGGCAACCAAGCACATTCCACTAAAGGTCAATCGCATTATCCCGAAGAAGGTTCCATCTTCGCTCCACTCTGAGAAGGAACCCCCTCAAGAGGGAAGCGCTGGCAATGTGCAAAGCGGGAACGAGCCAAAGTCCCCCCAACACAGGGAGGTCGACACAATCTTCGTTGAAAATTGGGCGATGGGAGCCGTTTCCGTAAGTCACGAACCAACCACATTCAAAGGAGCGCACTACAATTTCTATGTTAGTTATGTGTGCAGGGTGTGTTGGGCTACGTTCTTGTCGAGGATCTGGTAAACACTTTACTGTCGGGATGGCTGCTATATGTTCTTCAACTGCGAGAGTGTGGACGATTCTGAATGGTTGGACGGTCATGGGCCCCGAATTTGGAAAATGATTCTCGTTTCATTATGATGCAATATGCGGCTCCCCGAAAAACGTAGATGATGCGTTAGATTGTTTGTTTGCGGCGGCGGCATGTGATGATATTGTTAGGAACATGTCTTATTGCGGGGAGGAAGCGTAGCGAACGCACGGGATTGCTTCATTGAGCCGAGCGCGCCTGATCCAATCATCGGTCGTGGAGACTGGCATCGGGCCCCCGTGAGAAGGCAGTGCGGCGAACTCTCTGTGCTTAAGTTAGGCCTGTCCCTCCACAGGCGCAACATGTCAAAAGCAGGCGAAAAAAATAGTCCAGGGACGATTTTGTTGATCAGTTTTCCCCCCGCTGGGGGACACGCTCGACTTAACTCTGCGCGCAGAGACTCTGGTCCCTCTACAGGCGGAACGTTCAAAAATAGTCAAAAAATAGCCCGGGAACGATTTTTGTTTGTTGTTTTTCCCCCTGTTGGGGGACACGCCCGACGTGACTCTCTATGCGTCGAGGCTGTGGCCCGCTTGGTCTGAGGGAGAACGGCGGGCCCCCTCGACTTGTAGGATTCTGCGATAGGCTCAAGAGGATTTAGCTCACGCCGTGTGGGCCCGGTCCAGATCCAGCCTGGCTCGGGAGTAGGAGGAGGAGGAGGAAGTGAAAGAGGAGGAGGAGGAGGATTAGGAGGAGGAGGAGGAGGGGACGAGGAGGAGGAGGAGGAGGAGGAGGATGGAGGAGGAGAGGAGGAGGAGGAGGAGGAGGAGGAGGAGGAGAGGAGGAGGAGGAGGAGGAGGAGGGAGGAGGGGAGGAGGAGGAGGAGAGGAGGAAGGAGGAGGAGGGAGGAGGGGAGGAGGAGGGGGAGGAGAGGAGGAGGAGGAGGAGGGGAGAGGGGAGGAGGGAGGAGGAGGAGGAGGAGAGGAGGAGGAGGAGGAGGAGGGGGAGGGGGAGGGGGAGGAGGGTAGAGGAGGAGGGAGGGAGGAGGAGGAGGAGGAGGGAGGATTAGGAGGAGGAGGAGGAGGAGGAGGAGGAGGATTGGGAGGAGGAGAGAAGGGAGAGGGGGGCGGGGACAAGCTGGGTGCGCTCGCGTCACATCTGGCGCCCTACCCCTCCCTCCCATCCCTGACAATGGCGTAGATCTCCCCTCTGTCCGCAAAGTCGGATGTCGAGCAAGGTAATGATCGCGGGAGGGTGCGCGATGCATCGTAGAGCGCGGCATGGCATGGCGTAGAAGAGCACGGCAAAGCGCAGAATGTCATAGCATGGCGTGGCATTGCGTAGTGAAGCATTGCATCACAAAACATTGCAACGCAAAGTATGGCATCGCACAGCGGCGCAGAACAGAACACCGAACAGCATGTCATGGCAGGGTACCCTGTTCCTTCGAGGGCAAGTGGATAATCTTCGAAGGGTCTGGGCCGGTCTGGAGTCGCGGCTCCATGTTCAGCTCCCTGGGCTCCGCGAAAAGCTCTTTGCAAGGCGGGGTTGATGGAGAGCACCCGCTGGGTCAACATCGTTTTCTGAAAGCAGAAGCGGGGCTGCCGCTTGATACTTCCTCCAAGCGCCGCCGCCCCGAAGTGCGGGGGGGCTTCCACGGCAGAATCGGCACCGGATGTGCAATCACTTGCGATGTTTTTTTTTCTGGTGGTCATTTTTTTGATCTGGAGCCTTTCTGGAAGGACAGAAAACGCCAGCGCTGCAGCGGGAGCACGTTTTGGAACAACCAGAGGCGCATAAATGGGGCCAGCGCTGCAGCGGGAGCAACATTTTGCAGGACCGAAAAGAATCGAATTGTCAAAACCACATATGAAGACCAGGAAATTAGGCCAGCGCTGCAGCGGGAGCACGATTCGGAACGAGCGGAAGCGTGGAAATGAGGCCAGCGCTGCAGCGGGAGCACGATTCGGAACGAGCGGAGGGCCGAAAATCAGGCCAGCGCTTCAGCGGGAGCAACATTTTGAAAGAACATCCAAGCAAACACCCAGTTCCCGGGAATCCTGCGTGCAAAAAAAAACAAGACGCGGAGGGGGGCCGGATATCTTCCGGACGTCATCAGGGGAGAGAGGAGAGCAATCGGAGGTTGGGGGGTGAGATCGAAGTGGAACGGAGAGCCCTCCTACCGGGAAATCGATTTCGGTTTCGTGTTCGTGCGTGCCGTGCGGGCGAGGCGAGGCTGCGTGGGCGGGCGAGAGAAAGTCTCCTGTGGCTGAGGCGCGGCCGGACCAAATGACTCCCTTCCGGGCGGCCGGGGCCCCGCGGTGTCCCGCCGGTGTCCCGCTGGTGTCCCGTGTGGCTGAGGCGCGGCCGGACCAAATGATTCCCTTCCGGGCGGCCGGGGCCCCGCGGTGTCCCGCCGGTGTCCCGCGGTGTCCCGCGGTGTCCCGCGAGGATGATGATGATGATGATGATGATGATGATGATGATGATGATGATGAGATGATGATGATGATGATGATGATGATGATGATGATGATCATGATCATGATCATGATCATGATCATGATGATCATGATGATCATGATGATGATGAGGATGATGATGATGCTCATGATGATGATGGTGTCCCGATGAAGAAGATGATGATGTTGATGATGGTGTCGATGATGATGATAGTGTCCCGATGATGAGGATGCTGATGCTCATGATGATTATGTTGATGATGATGATGACGACGATGGTGTCCCGATGATGATGATGATGATGATGATGATGATGATGATGATGATGATGATTCCGATGATGTTAGTGATGATGATGTTGATGGAAATGGTGTCCCGGCGATAATGATGTTGATGATGATGTTGATGATGATGATGGTGTCCCGATGGTGATGTTGATGATGATGATCGTGATGATGATGGTGATGCTGATGGTGTCCCGATGATGATAACAATGATCATGACGATGTCGATGATGATGTTGCTCATGATGATGATGGTGCCCCAATGATGATGATGTTGTTGATGATGATGATGTCGATGATGACGATGCGATGATCATGATGATGATGATGGTGTCCCGGGGATGATGACGATGTTGATGATAATGTTGATGATGAGAACGATGGTGATCATGATGGTGTCCCGATTATGATGATGATTCTGATGCTGCTGCTGATGATGATGACGATGCCTGTGTCCCTATGATGATGATGTTGATGATGAGATGATGATGATGATGATGATGATGATGTTGTCCCGATGATGATGCTGACATTGATGATGATGTTTATGATGATGATGATGATGATGATGATGATGATGATGATGATGATGATGATGATGATGATGATGATGATGATGATGGTGACGGTGCCCTCATGATGATGACGATGTTGGTGATGATGTTGATGTTGATGATGTTGATGATGATGATGATGATGATGATGATGATGATGACGTTGGTTGTGAGAGCGATTCTGATATCGATAGTGAGATCGATATTGAGACCGCATGTGAGATCGATTGTGTGATCGATTGTGAGATCGATTGTGAGATCAATTGTGAGATCGATCGAATGAGAGATCGAGTGAGATCGATTGTGAGATCGATCGAGTGAGATCGATCGAGCGAGACCGATAGTGAGATCGATACTGAGATCGATAGTGAGACCGATCGAGTGAGACGTTGGTTCCCCCCCCCGAACCTCCTTATCACCCGAAGGGTGGTCGTATAGGTATTCATTGTGTGTAATTGTATACGTAGTTTGAGCAGGAGGGCAGCAAGGACAAGGGATGAAAAACAGAGAGGAGGAGGAGGAGGAGGAGGAGGAAGAGGAGGAAGAAGAAGACGAAGAAGGCGAGTTCTGTCCAGTGTGGTTCAAGGCTTGGCTGGTCCAAGCCATCGGGGCCTTGGCCGCCTATCATTCACGATGAATACACTGACTTACCAGCTTGTGTTACTACTATTACTTTCTCTCTTCATATTCGCCGCTGGGCTGGCCATTCCTGACCAGCTCGCGGATCAACTCGCGCTGGCCGGCCCAAAAGCTGGAGGGCCCCCCGCCCTGTCCAACAGCACGTTTGCTTACCTCGCTGCCCCGCCCACGGAGGAGTGGTCCTGGATCGGCGACGGGCCGCGGACCAGCGGCGGTGCCGGGCTGTACCCAGAGCACTGGCTCGGCCCCCTGAGGAGACCAGACCACGACCTGGCCCTGATCGGGGGGCGCCCCCTGGCCACGAAAGCCGAGGATCGCGGGAGAGAAGCATGCCGATGCCGACGCAATTCGCTCGTGTTCACCTTCTTGGGCCTCCCGTGGTGCCTTCGTCGCCACGGCTGGATTCGCCTCGGAGGTCTGGTCAGAACGCGTTCCTGGGAAGGTCCGAGAGAAAGATACCGCTGTTGTCAGAGTGAGCGAGGTGCTCTTTGGTTTTTCCTCAGAGGATGCCGAGCACTACCGGGCGCAGAGTACTGAGGATAGCGGCGTCGGTAGGCACCAGCGCTGGACGCTGGGGCTGTGGGTGGGCGGCGCGGCGTTGGTCCTCGTCGTCGCCCTGGGGCACTCGGCGCTGTGCTGCACTCTGGGTTGGCGCCGCGAGGAGCGCTCTGTCTCGGCCGGCGAGCACGGCGGGGCCAGGAAGGCCGAGGCTGGCTCGTCCAAGGTGCGCGGAGCGCACAATCGGCGGCTCAAAGGCGGGGCCTCGAGGGACGGGGCCTGGAGCCCCGAGGAGAGGAACGACATCCCAGGCCTATGATGGTCCAACCTACTCTGGCCTCGACCACTAGAAGTAAAATCTCGAGCGCCCAGACAGCACCGCAGCTGGAGGGTTTCCACGCGGCAGGCCCCCGGGAGGCGAGACCCCTTCGACGCCGCTGCTGGGTGCCCGAAGTCATCTCTGGGCCCAGACCCCCGACGTCGTGAATTTTTCATGACGTCGACCCCCAGCTGTCTGGACCCATTCCCCGGGACCGGTTTTTCGTCCTGAGTCGTTTTTTGACGGTCCCGAGGGCTGGTAAGGGCCCCCAGAGGCCAAAAATAATGAAAAACCTCCCGTCGTGATTTTTTCATAACTCGAGGGGGTCTGGGGGATGCGGCCCCCGAGCACCGAGGGGAGCGGCACGATCCCGGGCCGAAAACCGTCACGCTCGGAGGCCGCCCGCCCTCGGGGCCCCGGCCCGCTGGGCCCCGTTTTCCTCCCCCGCCGTCGCCCAGGGTGGTGGCACCGCGAGCCCGGCGGCCGTGGGGGGGGCTTTTGGGGGGGGAGGGAGGGAGGGAGGGAGGGAGGGAGGGGGGGGGGGAGGGAGGGGGGCGCAGGGCCCTCGCAGAAGCCCTCGTGGCTTCAGCGAAGCCGCCTCCCCAGACCCCCCTCGAGTAGTGAAAAAGAACTCGACGGGAGGTGTTTCGGCATTTTCGGCATCTGGGGGCCCTTGCCGGGCCTTGGGACCGTCAAAAAAAGGCTCAGGATGAAGAGCCGGTCCCAGGGAAGGGGTCGAAACCTCCGGGGGTCGACGTCATGAAAAAATCATGACGTCGGGGGTCTGGGTCTAGAGACCAGCCAGCGGAGCCCTCCTGAAGGAGCCCCACTCGCTTTCTCAGAGGCCGCCCGCCTCCTTAGAAGGCCACCCCCCCGGCACCACTCTCCCAGCCATCCGACGATGTGCTTGGTTCAGGCCGCGGCCCTGGAGAGCCCCCGACCTCTTCACACACGAACGCCCCCGGGGAAGCGCTTTGCGTCCCGGATTTCCGTGTTTCGGGGGCCCCAGGGGGCCGAAGCCGTGTTCCGGAGGCCGACATCGAGAAGAGATTGGACGAGTCACATCTCCAGAGATCGGGCCTTTGTTTTAGGTCGGGCATGTCCCCCTACAGGCCGATTTTGGACGACAAATAGAAAATATGCAAAACAAATTCAAAAATTGACAAAAATCGTAGAAAAATCGGCCCCCCATTTTTTTGGAAAATAAAGAAGAATTTCCTCCTGTAGGGGGACAGGACCGACTTAACCCGTATTTTCGCGCCGCCAACAAGGACAAGATCACCAAGCTCGCGTCGTACCACTCCTGGATGCCCAGACCCGGCATGCCAGGCAGGGTCCACTTCGACCCGAGCGATCCGCTCCGAGATCGCTTCCGGCCGGCTCGAGCCAGTTCGATCCCGATGCTCTCACGATCCGATGCGTCCCCGTGTTTCGGGCCGGACGAAAGGAGGGGATTGGGAAAGGGGAGGTTACGAAATTTGGTACATGCAGGTGGTTCCGGCCCCGCCGCGGGGCCCATTCCTCGATACATGGGCGCCTCCCCGCGCCGGGAGGCGCTGGGAAAGTCAGCTACGTGAGCTGATTCTCAAACCCCCCTTGTGCTATCCCCCCCTTTCGCCCAGCCCGGTGTCTGCGTGGCGCTGTTGTGCACTCTGGCGCGGCCGAGCTGCCTCGATTCCGACTCCGTGCCGACGCGGCCCCGATGCGACGCTCGGGTCGGGCGAGCGGGGGTGTTTGGGGCTTGTTTTTTCCACCACCATCACCAGAAGTTGGAGGGGCAGGGGGTCCTCCTCCTCCTCCTCCTCCTCCTCATCCTCCTCCTCCTTCCTCCTCCTCCTCCTCTCCTCCTCCTCCTCCTCCTCCTCCTCCTCCTCCTCCTCCTCCTCCTCCTCCTCCTCCCCCTCCTCCACCTCCTCCTCCTCCTCCTCCTCCTCCTCCCTCCCCCCCTCCAGCTTCATGGTGGTGGTGGTGGTGGTACACAGGCCCGGCCAGGGGGGAGGAGGAGAAGGAGGAGGAGGAGGAGGAGGAGGAGGAGGAGGAGGAGGAGGAGGAGGAGGAGGACGAAGAAGAGGAGGAGGAGGAGGAGGAGGACCCCCTGCCCCTCCAGGGGGGAGGGGGTGCTTGCGCAGCCTGCGCCCGTGCGGCCGGCTGCGGCCCCCGCCGCCGGGCGCCTCCCTCGACCCGCTGGCGCGTCCGGCCTCGGGAGGTGCCGGGAGAATCAGCCACGGTGGGCTGCTTCACTGGCCCAGCGTCGGGCCTGTCCCTCTACACCCAGACCCCCCTCGAGCAGTGACAAAAATCACGACGGGAGGTTTTTCGTCGTTTTCAGCCTCTGGGGGCCCTCGCCGGGCCTCGGGACCGTCCAAAAACGACTCAGGATGAAGAGCCGGTCCCAGGGAAGGGTCGAAACCTCTGGGGGTCGACGTCATGAAAAAATCATGACGCCGGGGGTCTGGGTCCACAGGAGGAATATTCTTCAAAGATTGTAAAAGGTTAGTCTGGGGACAATGTTTGGAGCATGTGTCGATCATTTTCATTTTGGGATACGTCTGGGGTATGTCTTACGTTTCGTCGAAGATCGGCCTGTATCCAGGGCCCCGGGGCTCCCGACCCCTTCCCCACGGGGGCGGCTTTTCGCCCCAGATCCATGCCTGATGGTCCCGGGGCCCGACAAGACGGGCTCCAGAGCCGAAACGAAAGCAAACCGCCGGGATTGCAAGGATCTCGGCCTTCCGCCCGACCCGAGACGCACACGGTCGGACCGAGGCACAAGATCGAGGCCGGTGCGGCGAGGGTGCCCTGCTATGCTTCGTGCCTGCCAGTGTCCTCGTGCCTCCTGGGGAGGGTATGCCCTTGGATGTGCTGCCTGCTTTGGCCGACGGAGGGCCTCACGCTCTTGAGGGGTGTTCTGGCCTGGGCCCGACCGCATCCCCAGACCCCCGACGTCATGATTTTTTCATGACGTCGACCCCCAGATGTTTAGACCCCTTCCCCAGGGCCGGCTTTTCGCCCTGAGTCGTTTTTTGACGGTCCCGCGGCCCGGCAAGGGCCCCCAGAGGCCGAAAATGACGAAAAACCTCCCCTCGTGATTTTTTCACTACTCGAGGGGGTCTGGGCTGGGTCAGACCGCATCCCGACCCGACCAGATCCATCGACCCGCCGCCAGCCGACCCCGACCCGAGCCGACCCGATCGACCCGGTGCCGGCCCCGGCAGCTGCCAGGCTCGGGAGGCGGCCTTAAGAGGGGGGTGATGACTAGGGGGGGGGATACGCATCATGGCGAGGGCCATGATGTTTCCCCAGATTTCATGGCGCCTCCCCAGACCCCCTCGAGTAGTGAAAAAATCACGACGGGAGGTTTTTCGTAATTTTCAGCCTCTGGGGGCCCTTGCCGGGCCTCGGGACCGTCAAAAAACGACTCAGGATGAAAAGCCGGTCCCAGGAAGGGGTTGAAACCTCTTGGGGTCGACGTCATGAAAAAATCATGACGTCGGGGGTCTGGGTCTTCCTGTTTCAATACGTCCCCGCCCCCCCCCCTGGGCCGCACACATGCCACCGGCCATGACTTGCGCCCCCCCCTCTTGGACTCCCCCCTCTTGTCAGCCACGCGCCGAGGGGGGTGGGGGGATAGAACGGAGGGCTTCTTAGAAGCACCGCTGCTTCTTAGACGGCGCGGGCCTTATCCTAGACGGCGCGGGCCTTATCCATAGATGTAAGGCCGGCGCCTTCTAAGAAGCAGCCCCCTTCTAAAAGAAGCCTTCCCCCCCCCCCTCCACCCCCTCCCAGAGATGCGACGTCCTGACTTTTTCAGGACGGCGTCCCTGGAAGTCCCGACCCCTTTCCCAGGGCCGGTTTTTCGCCCTGAGTCGTTTTTTGACGCTCCCGAGGCCCGGCAAGGGCCCCCAGAGGCTGAAAATGACGAAAAACCTCCCCTCGTGATTTTTTCACTACTCGAGGGGGTCTGGGCTGGGTCAGACCGCATCCCGACCCGACCAGATCCATCGACCCGCCGCCAGCCGACCCAGACCCGAGCCGACCCGAACGCTCCCGAGGCCTGGCGAGGGCCCCCGAGGCCGAAGTTGGCCAAAAATCTGCCGTCCTGCTTTTTGTCACGACGCGAGCATGTCTGGGCCCTGGCGCGCCGCCACAGGTTTCTCAGGAGGGAAAGAAACACACAGACACAATGAATCGTCGATTCCCAGGAAAATATGGGAAAATATGGGAAGTGGGGGGGAAGACAAAAACCCAGAAAATATGGGAAAATATAGGGAATATTTTTATTTGTGTCTATCTATTTGTGTGTCCTGGGGCCCCTTCAGTTTCGACCCGTTTCCCGAGACCGGTGTTTCCTCCCGAGTCGTTTTTTGACGGCCCCGAGGCCCAGGAAGGGTCAGCCACGCGCAGAGCCCAGACCCCCTCGAGTTATGAAAAAATCACGACGGGAGGTTTTTCATTATTTTTGGCCTCTGGGGGCCCTTGCCGGCCCTCGGGACCGTCAAAAAACTACTCAGGACGAAAAACCGGTCCCGTGGAATGGGTCCAGACAGCTGGGGGTCGACGTCATGAAAAATTCACGACGTCGGGGGTCTGGGGAGGGGGGTGGGGGGAGGGGGGAGGGCTTCTTAGATGCACCCCTGCTTCTTAGAAGGCGCGGGCCCTATCTGCAGATGTAAGGCCAGCGCCTTCTAAGAAGCAGTCTACTGCTAAGAAGCCCTCCCCCCTCCCTCCACCCTCTTGTGCGCGCCGCCAAAAGGGCCCCGAGAGGCAGAAAATCGTTTTTTTTTTTTTCAAAAAAAAAAAAAAAAAACATCCGTCGTGATTTTTTCATTGCTAGAGGGGGTCTGGGCCCCTCGTGCGCGCCGCCCGTCCTGGCCTGCCCCCGGCAGGCACAGTTCACCGTCGATTCCAGGAAAATATGGGAAGTGGGGGGGAAGACGAAGATCAATAACAAAAAATAGAAAATATGGGGAATCTTCTTATTTGCGTGTATTTATTTGTGTGTCCTGGGGCTCCTTCAATCCTCGCCGCCCCCGACAGGCTCCTCCGTGCCGGGCTCGGCCGGCAGCCTGGCGAGCAGCGGCCTCCTCTCCACGAGCGTGAGGAGCGCGGCCGCCCCGGCCCGGCGGAGGCCACAGCAGCGGCTCTCTACAGGGGGAATATTCAAAAAAACAGTCGAAAAATAGTCTGGGGCCTATTTTTGGATAGTTGTTTATAACCATTTTGGAGTATGTATGTTGTATAACCATTTTGGAATGTTCAAAAGCAGTCGAAAAAAGGTCCGGGGCCTAATTTTGAATCGGAGGTGAGGGGGTGAGATCGAAGTGGAACGGAGAGCCCCCCTACCGGGAAATCGATTTCGGTTTCGTGTTCGTGCGTGCCGCGCGGGCGAGGCGAAGCTGCGTGGGCGGGCGAGAGAAAGTCTCCTGTGGCTGAGGCGCGGCCGGACCAAATGACTCCCTTCCGGGCGGCCGGGGGCCCGCGGTGTCCCGCCGGTGTCCCGCTGGTGTCCCGTGTGGCTGAGGCGCGGCCGGACCAAATGACTCCCTTCCGGGCGGCCGGTGGCCCGCGTGTGTCCCGCCGGTGTCCCGCGGTGTCCCGCGGTGTCCCGCGGTGTCGGCGCAGTGTCCCGCGGTGTCCGCGAGGATGATGATGATGATGATGATGATGATGATGATGATGATGATGATGATGATGATGATGATGATGATGATGATGATGATGAGATGATGGTGATGATGATGTTGAGGATGAGGATGATGATGATGATGATGATGAGAAGGTGATGATGATGATGGTGTCCCGATGAAGATGATGATGTTGATGATGGTGTCGATGATGATGATAGTGTCCCGATGATGAGGATGATGATGCTCATGATGATTATGTTGATGATGATCACGATGATGGTGTCAGGATGATGATGATGATGATGATAATGATGATGATGATTCGGATGACGTTGGTGATGATGATGTTGATGGAAATGGTGTCCCGGCGACAATGATGTTGATGATGATGATGTTGATGATGATTATGGTGTCCCGATGATGATGATGCTGATGATGATGATGATGGTGATGATGATGATGGTGATGCTGATGGTGTCCCGATGGTGATAATAATGATAATGACGATGTTGATGATGATGTTGCTCATGATGATGATGGTGCCCCAATGATGATGATGCTGTTGATGATGATGATATCGATGATGATGATGATGATGCGATGATCATGATGATGGTGTCCCGAGGATGATGACGATGTTGTTGACAATGTTGATGATGAGAACGATGGTGATCATGATGGTGTCCCGATTATGATGATGATTCTGATGATGCTGCTGATGATGACGATGACTGTGTCCCGATGATGATGATGTTGATGATGAGATGATGATGATGATGGTGATGATGATGATGATGATGGTGATGATGATGATGATGATGTTGATGATGATGATGATGATGATGAGAGTGTCCCGATGATGATGCTGACGTTGATGATGATGTTTATGATGATGATGACGGTGCCTTCATGATGATGACGATGTTGGTGATGATGTTGATGTTGATGATGATGATGATGAGGAGGAGGACGTTGATTGTGAGAGCGATTGTGATATCGATAGTGAGATCGATATTGAGACCGAATGTGAGATCGATTGTGTGATCGATTGTGAGATCGATTGTGAGATCAATTGTGAGATCGATCGAATGAGATAGATCGAGTGAGATCGATTGTGAGATCGATCGAGTGAGATCGATCGAGCGAGACCGATAGTGAGATCGATACTGAGATCGATAGTGAGACCGATCGAGTGAGACGTTGGTTCCCCCCCCCCGAACCTCCTTATCACCCGAAGGGTGGTCGTATAGGTATTGTGCATCACCATGTTGGAGTATGTTTTATAGAGTGTTTCTTGTCTCTCGCCCAAAACATCCCCCTGTAGGGGCACACGCCCGACCTGAGGCCAGCGGCGGCTCTCGCCCGCCCGGCCCCCGCGGCCCCCGCTCCGGCAGGGCCGGCCCCCGGACCCGCTCCGGGGGAGTCCGCCCTCCCAGGCCGCCGACGTGCTGACGGGGGTGGACACACCTCCTGCCCCGACACGCCGATTAGTGTTTTCGGTCCTCCGAGGTAGGGGAGCAAAAAGTGGCACAAACATAAAAACTCGGAGGTCCGCGCGGATGTCTCGGATCCGCCGATCCGGGAGATCCGCGCGGACCTCCGTTTTTATGTTAATCTCATTTCTGGTTCCCTTGCAAAGGGCGCCGCGGCCGTCATTTTCCAGGCTTGCGCCCGCCAGGTTTGGACCAAAGGTCGTTTTCACGAAACCACGTTTTGCTAAAGGGGGTTCTGACCACCCCCGACATTGACAAAATCAAGACAGAGGTTTTTCCCGATTTTCGGCCTCTGGGGGCCCTCGCCGGGCCCCGGGACCGTCAAAAAACGGCTCGGGATGAGAAGCGGGTCCTGGGGAATGGGTCGAGACTTCCGGGGCCCCGCACGGAAAAAGTCACGACATCGGCTCCTTGGGCTGCTGGGGGCGAGCTGCTCGGACGTGGGCGTGTTTTTTTTCTCGGCCAGGGCCTTCGAGGAGCGCCCGCGGCCATATCGGGCCAGCAAGGGCACGCGCGAGGCCGAGAGGTGCAGAGGGGAGGGACGTCCGAGCGACGGCGAGAGAGATGGAGGAGGAGGGGGAGGCAAGAGGAGGAGGAGGAGGAGGAGGAGGAGGAGGAGGAGGAGGGAGAGGAAGAGGAAGAGGAGGAGGGGGAGGAGGGGGAGGCAGGAGGAGGAGGAGGAGGAGGAGGAGGAGGAGGAAAGCCCATTTGGCCTCTGGCGATCTGGGCCTGCGACCCGATCGATCGGTCAGGGTCGATCGGCGCCTGCCGCCCGATCGATCCCGCCTCGCAGGCCGATCGCGAGGCCGGGCTCAGCGCGCCGCGGATCGGCGATTCGCCGCCGCCGCTGCCGCGCCCTGGCCCTTGGCGGCTGCTGCGCGCCTTCGGCGCGCCCAGGAGGGGCCCGACGCCCGAGCCCGCCTGGCACAGGCGGCAGAGGGAGCGCCGGGCGTCGGCGCGGGCCCTTCTGCGCGTCGTGAGGGCGGCCGACCTCCTCAGCAGCCACCACTCCGCGCAGCAGCACCAGTGCAACCAGCAGAACGTGCTGCAAGACTTCGAGACCAGCGAGATGGCGACCAACACGAAGTCTCACGGCCATCCAGTGGGGGCCAAGCCGTGGCCATGGAGGTCAAGCACACCAGCATCTGGATCCTCGTACCGCCGACACCATGGAGGGCATGGACAGCAGCAGCCACGGCACCAGCCCCAGCACAACCAGCACCACCACACCTCCCACCACGACGAGGATCAACAGCAGCACAACGACGCCCAGTACCAGCAACAGTATAAGTACGACTACACGACACCGAGAACGAAGCGGCACCCCTCGAGAAGACGCCACCAAGCCCCCGAAGACTCCACAAACGACCACCGACAGTTGCCAAAGCTGACGAAACGACAGTTGGAGGTCACAGAAAAGGTAATGCCCGCCTTGCTTTCGGATGCCAAGGGACACGAAAGCTTTTCTCTTCCTCCCGACGAGCCAGACATACGTAGGGTTTGGCACGCCACTAAGGTGGCGCGGATGGCACGTCTCGCCGACCAAGTCCACGGAGCCAGGCAAGCCCAAGTCGACCCGACCCGCTTGATCGAGGAGCTAGCCATAGTCAAGACCATGATACACATGCTGGACACGCCGACGGCTCGCATTTCACAATACAGATCCCAAGTGGAGTCACGGATCCAGAGACAGCAGACCGTCGAGAGCCAGCTCAAAGACCTCAATAAGGAGCACGACGAAATCAAGGGCGAGATCGCATCCCTCAAGGCACTCATCTCCGAGGCCAAGCAGTATCGAGAACACGCCGAACTTTACGAAGACAGTTGTGACGGGGACGGTGAAGATGATGGGAGACAACGTGTCAGGGGCAAGACACCACACCCCGAGAGACGACAGCGGACACCAATTCGACAACCGGTGCACGAGCCAGCGCCTGCTTCGACCACCAACGACAACAGCGACCTGCGGAAACTCATTGACGTGCTGACGAGGAGAGTGGATGAGCAGCAGCGCAACCACGGAATACATCAACATCATCTGGCGTTTCTCCACCATGAACGAGCCGAATCCGATCAACACGAAGCACAACGTCAACTGCAGACCGAGCAGATCCACGAGCTCTCGCAACATCTACAACATTGCCAGGAACAATTCCAGCAAGCACAACTCCAACAGAGACAGTCGTACTACGACGAGATCCAAGTCTTCCGACAGCGCGAAGAGCAGCTCCGACAAGAGGCTCGCGAATCCATCACGGAGAACGTCGCTCACTACCAGCAGAAGGAGGCCTACCTGCGCTACCAGCTCAAGGAGGAAGAGTCAGCGCACCTCGCCACCTTCATCATTCAGAGGAAGCAAGAGGAAGAGACCTTCAGACATCAGCTACACGAGAACGCCGAGATCATGGTCCAACAATATCAACAACGCTGCCACGAACAACAGCAACGTCTTCTTTCCGAGAAAGCCCAGGCACAGCAGGACATCAGCAACATCGCGAGGCTTGAACAGAACCAGCTTCAGGACGCCAAGGAACTACTTTTGGAGGAGTTCGGACAGTTTCAGGCTCAGAAGTACCGAACCTTGACAGCCCAGAGCGAGTACAACAGCGAGATCGACAGGCTTCGAGGCACTTCTCGCGACATGCAGCGCTTCGAGAACGAACTCCAGGAGCAGCACCAACGCCAACTACAGGAGCATCTTCAGCAACACAGACAGGAACGCGAGCGACTGCACTGCGAACTACAGCAGGCCCACGAGTTCGGCACCAGCCTCGACGTGGACATCCTCAGGGAGCTCGACACACAACTTCAAGAACGAGACGAGGAAGACGCACGACTGCAAGCCCAAGCAGATGCTGAACAAGCACAAATCGACAAACAGGTACAAGCCGCACTCCACCTGCTGACCCCACCGTCCTCCTCTGATGACTCGGGCTATCAACTATACCTCAGAAACCGCGGCAGCAGCAGCGGAGGACAGCCCAG